GTCTGTGTTCTGTCGGAGCTGCCTGCGACGCGCTGATGAGATCCAAAAAGATCGAAATCGCGATCCGCGTCTGGCAGTTTCGACAGAATATACAGACCACTTCGAATTATTTTAATTTTACATTTAGTATTTGAAATAGGTAATTGTTTCATAACAAACCCAACACTGTAAAATTTACCATTACTTTTGAGCATTTACTTTGCAAAGTTGCGACGGAATTTGCGATTGCCCCTTTCGTCTTTGTTTGAAAATTTCATTTGGCATTTCAAAATAAAAATTATTCCCCAGTAGAGAGGGTCTCTAAGCCTCTATAGGGAGTTCCATAACACTTTCCCACGTTAATTCCAAATAAATGAATATTTAAATTGATCCCGCTCCCCCAGGATTTTGATACGTACCGACTACCCTTTTCCTCGTCAGACGCGTATGAGAATCGGGGTACAGTTCCTAACTTAATAAGAAGGTTATTTTACGCTTCCTAGCAACGATTACGCCTAGGGGAGTATCAGGCAGTTCGATTTTCGCTTCCTTTCATTCGTGAAATTTATGAGTTTTGTAAGAAGATTGTCAGCCATTAAAGGAATTATAAAGTTAGATACACTTTCGTATCTAAACTCCACCTTATACTTGTTTAAGATTGGAAACGAAACTTTGTTTGAGGGTCTTGAGATAATCTGGGTAACAGAATCACTGATGTAAATTAATTTAGTACAGGTAATCTAAAATTAATGAAAAAAAAAAATGTTACTGCTGTCACGCCCTCGCCGGGAATCGAACTCGGATACGTAGTTAGGTACCATCGTCATTATTGCTGCTGTTACTTCTCGTAGCTTACTGGTTAAGCGATGGTGTCTAAACACAGAGACCCGGGTTCGATTCCCGGCTGCGGCGTGACAACAGTAACAACATTTCTTTACTAATTTGCAATAATAAAAATTAATTTAAAAATTAATTAACTTTGATGTAGTGAAAACCCTACAAAAATTCTCAGAACAATATAATTTGTCTTTTGATCTATTTGAATCTGTTTAAAATAAATGATTCGTTTTACGTCTTCATAATCACGTATCAAATTTAAATAAAACAATTGCAATATTTGAACCTTGATTAAAAAAAAAGTACAGGTGAAGGATGGCAATTAACTTAGCTCTTGAAATTAATTAACCTACTTGTGTTAGGAAAGATTCCTATTCTGATTCTATTAAGAAGTTACAATGAAATGGTGACATGGCATTAGTAAGAACGACTGCAGAAAACTTAAGGTCTAGGAATTCATGATAAATTTTTACACACGTTTCAAAATAGTGGTTAATTAATGTCTTCATGATTTACATAACATTCTGAGTAAATGGTAGCTTCAAATTTTGATATATTTGACCAACCGACAGGGCAGCAATCTTCATTTAAAAGTGGATAGCCATTAAACTAACGGTTACAGCTTCTTTTTAGATAGATACCGTTACTCCGTCATGAAATCTAATGATCTAATTACATAAGTAACATAAAAAAATCAGAACACAAATTGTGTATTCAAAAAAATTTTTCATTTTATTTTTAAACCTTCATATGCTGCCTATTTGTTAAATAACAATAAGTAGACAGCAGTAGATGAATAGATTGTTTAAATAAAGTAAAATTCGTGTGAAGTCCCTATTTTACACAAGAAGGAATGAAACCCGTCTTCTACACTCTGTCGCCTTCAATAAATAAAACCGAAAAGTGATTTTATTTTACGTACCTTTGAAAACGGCCTTTCTCTTTACTTCTGTCTCCGATAGGCGATCCTTTTGCCTTTGGCCTAGATACCGCCTCACTTTCTGCCGCTTCAATTTGGGTCGGTTGTCGATCAATGGCTCCTCTTCTATAGATGAACGATGCACGATATAGTTACTGTTTTCGTCACTTTTTCCTATAGATGACACGTTAGTGCTTTGCCGATCAGCCCATTTAATGGATTTTTGCGAATTATTAGGTAGTATTCCTTTCTTGTCAGATACGTCACTTTGGTCGTCACTGTCACTGTCACTGGCACTTGTCACAGCTTCGTTAGGAGATGCGGAATCGGTTTTGTTGATTTTGTTTACAACATTGGTTGTATCTTCTTTAGTTTGCTTCACTGCAGTTTCTTCTTCGTCTTCTTCAACTTCTTCATAGATTACTTCCTCTTCCGTTTCGCTTGCATCTTCTTCTATAACTTCTTCGCTACCATCTTCGGATTCCTCGACTTCCTCCATTACTTCATTCTCATTTTTACTCATCTGTTGAGTATTTGTTTTATTATGATTTTCTTTAATATCGTTTCTTACAACCTCCTTCCCGTCACTATCTACCTCTACCTCATATTCTATTTCTTCTTCTTCCTCTTCATTACTATCCACGTCGACCTCATATTCAATTTCCTCTTCTGTATACTCTGTTTCAGTTGAACTGTTTGAATCATTTTTAATGGATGTGTCGTTAATTTCGTTACTTTTTGCTATTTTGGTAACCTCTTGTAATGTCGGTCCATCTTCTTTCCTTGGTTCCAATTCATCATTTTCGCTAGAATCGCTAGATTGATCAACACTTTCACCATTTTTAATTTCAAGTTCGATATTATTTTCGCCCTTTTCTTTCCTATCTTCCTTTTCTCCTTCACTTTCATCTTCCTCTTCATCTTCTTCATCTTTCAAGTTCGATATTATTTTCGCCCTTTTCTTTCCTATCTTCCTTTTCTCCTTCACTTTCATCTTCCTCTTCATCTTCTTCGCTGTAATCTTCTTCTTGCTCTTCACTTATTTGCCTTTCTTGATTCAATATTTCATCTCCAACAATTTTCATGTTATTTTCATTATTTTGGTCACTATTGTCCTCTGATTCTACTTTCTCATCATGGCTTTCCTTATCTACTGACTTATTTTCATCACATTCTTGTGATTGAACGTCACTTTGGTTTTGAATACATAATTTCTGATCTGTCAGATTATCTTCCATTTCTTCGGTACTGCTACTGCTTTCTTCGGTACCAGAGCTGGCTTCATCGTTTTGACTATTCATTGATCCTAAAACAATTTCAGTTTTTGAGGTTGCCATTACATTCTCTTTATTTTCGTTAAGATCTGGGGATATTTGTGGTACATTATTACTAACTCTGTCCGGTTTAATTTTGAAATCTTCCCGAACTGTTTTTAGATAGTGAACATCATTTTCTTCTGTTTGTTTCTTGGTCTTATCAAGTGACAATAAACTGACGACTGGATCAGTAATATGCCTAGAGTATGCTCGTTTTCTACGAGTGTTAGTACTTTTTGTCTTTCCATTATCATCGTTGGGCGATTTTTGTCCTAATTTTACGATTTCATCAATAAGGGACTCCCTCAGTATTCTCCTCTGAATGATCTGTAGCAGTTGACCATCGTCATCATCTTCTGATGAATCGCCTTTCCATTTTTGATAATTGTGAATCCCTCCTGGGTCACTTCGATATCTTTGGTATGCTTTAGTTCGTTTTCTTTTGGTTTCGTTTAGATTTTTATTGCTTAGCAAAGAATTTGCTAGCTGATTATGTTGAATAAACTGAGAAGAAGTATCAACGATATCAGTATTTGATAAAGAAGCAGCTTTAGTGTTATCATTCTCTACTTTGGTTGGTGGGACTATATTTTCTTTCTCAGGAGTACATGTACCTAGAAAGCCCGTAATTGTTGCACTTCTTATTGGCTCACTTCTTCGATCTCTACGTCTTCTTCTTTGTACAGTGTCCAATGGAACTTCTTCTTCAGGTACTATAAGTGTTCCGGCAAAAGAGGTTCTTGTTGTCCATCTGTCACTTTCTGAGCTATCTTGGTCCATTTTTGGATTGTCTTGTGGAGGAGGTGTGTTCTTTCTGCAAATCATGTTGTGCATGCTCTTACTGCTGAAGAGATGGGGAGTTATAAATCTACTGTAGCCGTCTTCCAAAGCCCGTTTTGCACTTGCTTCCACATATTTCATTTTCCGTTGGAAGGGGTCGTTACTTTGCAATCTTTTTTCCGTAAATTGTAACGAATACGGTAGAGTAGCTCTTTTGTTAAAATTCGTTTTGATTGTGTGAAATTCGTCGGTGGTTTTGGATAAAATTTCGCTTCTGGACTTCTTAACGGTCTGTTTTTGTTCTGCATTTTCTTTTATCTTGCGTTTGATGTCCTCGATATTTGTCTTCTCGTAGTACATTAGCCGTGGCTTGTTTTCTATTTTGGAGGATTCCTTTCTATTAAGGTATCTCTGTAGAACATCGCTCCTACTTCTCTCTAAACGGGGATAATTGTTAGATGACACGGTGTACGGTCTGGATCTCAATTCTCTGTTTCTTCCTCTCCTTTCATCGTAGAGGCTTGTAAAGGATTCTCTCTTTTGAAGATACTGGGGATTCGACAAACTTCTTTCGTTCCTCCTTTTGGGTTTAGGAGCTTCATTGGTGGATTGCATGGACGATGGAAATGTTCCTGACGAATAGCTCCTGACGTTGCTTTTGTTGAGATTAACGTTCGAATTAAAATGGATTTTGTTATGCTGATCGTCACTTTTCTTTTGTATCTTATTCGTTTGATCGGCCGATTGACTTCTGACATAGAATTGGTGATCTTTGCTGGTCCAAACATTGTCTGTTTTGCCGTTGTCCTTGGCCTCAATAAGCAGAACGCCTTTGGAGTCAAAAAGCTGGATTGTAGGTACAGAAATGTGTGGCGACGATTTGGAGGTTGAAAGGGACCAGTTCCAACTTTTCGGTTTGCGTAATTGCAATTTAATTGTTTCGTCTAGCTGGCCACCTACCGAAGGATTCCGATTGTAATCAGGGGATGCGGACATCATAAGGAAAGTACAAGGTTACTTCGTTGGTAAAGAACAGACTAATCAGCAAAATGTACGGACGTTGAAAGCCAAGCGTACATCACGTTTTTGGAATGGATCCAAGTTACACATTCCCGGCAGCCGTCTGTAACAACAATCGATGATGTGTGAATTGCATACGGGGTATCGCAGTAGGTGGGTTGCAGCGATAATATCGTTTGGATATCTTGTATTGATCGGCTCCTGAAAACAAGAAAAAATTCTTACTCTTAAAATATAAACATTGCATTTCATCTCAATTAGGCAAATATTATCAACAACATGACTTTAAATGATTCGTTTTTGACGTGACAACGTCTTATAATTCGATGGAGCCGGCTGCACGCACGAAAAAACATGACTCATGCGGCGTTACCTCGCTCTGAGGCGTTCCATTTAAGGCTTGAAGTGGAAGCGAGAGCGCGGAACGAGCGACAAAGAGGCACAATCGGCCTCCGCGTTCGGTAGCGTTCGACATCTGTCTCTCTCCTACTTGAGTGAGCGATGCGTCCGCGTGGACAGCTGCTATACAATAATACATTTCCGTTTACCTCTTTCTCTTTATCCATACAAAATATCTATCAAACAAATAAAATTAAAATTTTCTTTTGAAAAATGAAACCATTCCATCAGTATTTTCTTATGACGTTGTCACGTTCAATTATCGTCAGTAAACCGACTTTACAGACAACCGATTTTTTTTTAAAATGTTTAGGATTTATAACTATAACAATCTAAATTTTGTTGCAACGTCATGCTTCACATTGTGCATATATTTGTTTAAAGCATGAATACAATTAATGGTATCCTTGTTACATTTGTCCTAGTTTTAAGAGAAACTTTTGCCAAAACGAAAATAGAAAGCAATCAATAAGATTAGTTCCCATAAATTCTTTATCTACCAATTTTAGCTAACGGCTTCCTTATCGTCTCGATTGTTACCTCAAAACCCTAGCAACAATAAGGACATTTTGGAAGGTGTATTTAAATTGGTTCTAACTGCTGGTATCTCATTAAGTAGAGTGGTTTGAAAAATAACAATTGCAAAAGTTTTACAATTATTTAAAAAAAAAACATGTATTATTAACATAAGATTATTACATCTTCAATTTCACTCTTTCAAAACAAAAAAACTATCTCTGAAGGAAAAATTATTTGTCTTCTTTTCCTGTCGAATCGTAGTATTCTGCAGTAATTTATTTACCCGAGATAAAAATGTTCAGTCTCTCAGAGTCCCTGAAAGCGAGACTCGAGTCTCCGTTTCTCTGGTGTCGCTGAGGGAGACTGTCGAGAGACTGTCAAAAAAACTGTTTAGCGTCTCTGAACGAGAGACTCGAGTCGCTCATAGAGAGATTATGAACGAGAAACTCGAATCTCTCAGTAAGTGGTGTCTCGATAGACATGGACAAGTTCAACATATTCCAGAGATCCCAGTCATTCTACGAGAGACTCGAGTCTCTCAATTTTTCACTTTTATTAATTCAGTCTCTCCGTGAGAGACTCGAATCTTTGAATTAATAGAGACTGTGAGACGTTCTCAGAGACGCTGAAAGACTGAGAGACTGAAAATTTTTGTCTAGGGTATATTTACGTTTTTACATTCAACAAAAGTCCATGTCACCCATGTTCTATGTCCAGATTGCCAATTTTGCATTTTTATCGGCAACTTGTTTTAGGTTTCTTAAATCTAAATCATCTAATGATGCTATGTCGTATATATAGGGTTGGTCGGAAAGTCATTTCGTTTTTTTTGTGGAAATGAAAGGCAGTTTTTGTATAATAAACAAATACTTTATTAAATTATATATTGACCGTTCTGGTCCAACACCTTTTGCCATATTTATGGTAGTAGCATAATTCCACGCTCATAAAATTTTTGGTCTTTGCTGGTAAAAAACTGATCGAGGAGGTTTTTGACCTCCTCATTTGAGGTAAAGGTTTTACCGACTAAAAATTTTTGGAGCGACCGGAACAAATTATAATCCGATGGTGCCAGGTCTGGAGAATATGGTGGGTGTAGCATTGTATCCCATTCAAGCTGTAAAAGCTTTTGGCGAGTGACCAAACTTGTGTGAGGTCTCGCGTTGTCTTGGTGAAACACTACACCTTTCCTGTTGATTAGTTCTGACCTTTTCTGTTAAAGTGCATCATTCAGTTTGTCCAGCTGATGACAGTAGTGTTATCCGGTAAAAGCTCAAAAAAAACGATTCCTTTAAAATCCCACCAAACAGACAGCATCACCTTTTTTTGGTGAATATCGGCTTTGGAAATGGTTTGAGCCGGTTCATCTTTTTTGCTCCATGACCTCTTGCGTTTGACGTTGTTGTGGACAACCCATTTTTCGTCCCCAGTGATGATGCGCTTCAAAAACGGATCATTTTCGTGACGTTTGAGAAGCGAATCGCAGACGTCAATGCGGCGACACAGATTTCTCTCTGTGAGAACATGGGGAACCCATACATCGAGCTTCGAGGATAATCCCAGGCCTTTCAAGTGGTCATAAACTGTTGAATTTGATAAATTTAACCTCAATCCGATCTCACGTGTTGTTATTCACCAGTTCACATCAACTAATGCCTTTATCGCGTCTTTATCAGCTTCAACCGGCATTCCCGAACGTGGTGCATCTGCGACATCAAAATTGCCGGATCGAAATTTAGTGAACCAGTTCTGGTATTGGCGTACTGTCAACACATCTTCTCCATACACATCAGTCAATTTCTTTCTGGCTTGAACAGCATTTTTACCCTTTCTGTAGTAAAACAGTAAGATATGTCGAAAATGCTGCTTATCGCTCTCCATATTTAAAAGGGCACCAACCAAAAACTACTGCGTAGAATTAATTGGAATTTTTCACACACAAGCCTTGCTATATGAGCTCTCAAAGCATATAAAAATTATACGGCTTAAATGTGAAGTTGGGTGCAAAAGAATACAATTAAATCCTCTGTCGGGAAAAAACGAAATGACTTTCCGAACAACCCAATAGTTTAATGAAAATCGTTATTTGGAATATAATTACTATAGTAAACTATTTCAACATTTCCTGATAGTATTTTCAGCATGTTTTCCCCTGGCCCCATTTTTCGACAAATCGTGGCTACGCCACTGTGAGTAACTTTCTGTCATTTTTCTTAATGAAAGCTCTCATAAAAGCGACCCTGTTTTCCTAATTTTTTCAATTTTATTTATGAAAAACGAGTTCGTGAAATTAAATTTTAATTTTTGAATCCTTTAATTCTTTAAATCGTAAAATTAAACACATAACTTTTGTCCGAAGCTTGTTATTGTCCTTCGGAAGATAAGAGAAAGGCTCGTCTTTACGAACGATTAGAGGCAGGGAGGGGATACATTACGATACGATTCCGCAAACAATATTAAATTACAGTTATTGTAATAGTAGTAGAGTAAAAGCTGTGTTAGAGTCAGTACGTACGAAAAGTGTCATTTGTTTAATCATCTGATGGGATAATTGTATTATAATAATTACTGATTTATTTATGATAGGTATGTATTTAAAAGTATATACGATGATATACTTACATATAAAAATAAGTTTTTGTTTAGTACCTAATTTAAAGGATAGTTATTAATTTTTTTATCTTTTCAGATAAAATGCTGATAGTACAACACCATGGTGTCATGAACCTGCTCGTTGTAGGACTAGCTGACCAGCTTTGAACACAAATCCAACGGTGAGTGAATAATCCTTACTATTTATTAACTGAATATTGATATTGTATAAATACTTCCAAGATTTACAAACTGCAGAGCTTTTTCTCATTAAAAGCTTTATGATAACGACAACAGGATGTATCTCCGATCACCGTTTTTGAAATGAATTTTGAAAACGATGTAGTAAAATATTTTGGTTGTATTAATCGATTCAGAACTCTTTTTCTTTTATCCAACATTCTTTCAAAATTGTTTTAGTTGTAAAAAAAGGAAAATATAATTGCAAAAATAAGACATATTTCTTAATAGCTTTGAGTCTTTGCTATATATTGTTAAAATGTTTTTGCAATTTTATTTTCTTTTGTACTACTAAAATACCTATTTTGATTTAATTTCATAATGTTACCAAATTGATCATAGTAATTATTCCTTTTACTAATGGAGTAGAAATGGTGATTTTGTTTTACTTTGTTAAGATAAAAGTGTAGATACCATTGAACTTGATATTTAAAACAACTAATTTTCAATTAAGTGGTTATATAGGAAAATGGAAAAATTTTACTTTTATTTTAACATTTTGTTGTTGTTTTTGCAACGAATTTTAGCTTAATACAGTTGTGTTTTCTCTAAAACCCTCAAAAATGTTGTCTATTTTTTAACACTTCTCGCATATTTTCTCAAATTTACTTTGTTTTAATTTATATTTTAAAATTCTTAAAACAAAACGTTGATAATATTAGTGTATACGTGTATGTAAAAAGAAAATGGCTGATCTACTTAGTCACTGACTCAGCAACGCTTAGGCTAAACCCTTGAACCTAGGTAGAAATTTTCTTTTATGACGTATGCTAGGAATAAGGAAGGATATTTCGTCTAATTTAAAAATCTTACTGGTAAAAATATGCAATCATTCAGTAGTTAGTCTTGTCCTATTACACCAATATAATATTTTTTCGATTACTTATTTAACAACAGAAAAGTAAACATTTCAAATAAAATAATTTGGACTTCATTAAAAGCAATCTTCTAATGTCTTTTTGCATAAATCTAAAATCTTAAATTAAACTTTTTTGGGTAGATACTTTCGTTACATTTGTTTGTAATAATAATTTAAACTTGGAATCTTTTCATGGTTGAATTTACCCTGGTTTCTTTTAAATATAAATTTAACAACAAAGAAAACCTTGATAATATTACTGTACAATAAATTTAATCAGACAATTTATAAAGAAGCTTTATTGTATAGGGACTAAATACTTTAATTTGATCAGGACATATTAATTTAAAAATAAAATACCGAGATTAATTAATTTTTCATATTTCTGAATTAATGATTCAATTTCCGACTGTACTCGAGTTGCCCAGCTACACAATCTGGAACGAAACTTGGGTTTGTGTCGATATTTAACTTTGGCAACTTATTTTCTCATTTTATTTACAAAGCACAAAAATGCTTATGAAAAAATGAAGTTGAAAAATTAATTTTTCAATTTATCGAAGTTTAAAATGAAAATGTATTACCAAATAAG